AGCAGCATTCAGTCCCTCAGCCTGGAGTCGATGCGTTCAGTCCATCAATCTTCAACTTGTCGGTCTTAAATCATTCATCACACAGGAAAAATATGAGGTGAATTATACAAACCAATACTTACACTCAGTATTTGCTCTTTACTTTCCTGTGTTTCTTGATAGTTCTTCCCAACATATTTTCTTTTCACTTTACCCTTTAATGCTCCACCTTGGAATTAATGAAGGAAATGGGAAGTACAATAGCTGCACTTTAAAGTAGGGGTTTGGGGTATTGGCAGTTTCCAGGGACATCTAAACTGTCGTATCTGAGCACCTCTGCAAAGACAGTCATTATATATGAGTGATGGTGAAAGTGTTGAATGATGATGAAAGTTTTTTTCTTTCATTTAGGGTCACCCTGCCTCTGTGGGAATCGGCCAACGTGTTTAAAAAAAAAAATGAATGTGATTCTAGTGTGGTGTAGACCGACCCTTCCAAGCCCTCCTGGCCCCACCCCGTTTTTAACTCCTGTGACTTCAGCCATAGTTTTCGTGCTTTATTTTTTAATTTTTGAAAGAGTCCATTCGTTATTATTTATTATGAATGATTGAGACCCACCATCTGCCAGGTCTAGACCTGTACTGCTTCACATCTTAGCTCTTCGCTCCCGCCAGAAAGGAGTTATGAGTCTGATAGGCTCTCTGAGGAAGACATTTGTGGTATTATTGACTAGACATGCCATTAGTTATTTCATGCTCCATAATAGGGCTCTAGAAATGCTTCAAACAGTAAGCATTATTCATGCTATGAGTGATATTTAAGTTGATTAGGTTTGAGAGCTTCACTAGTGATCATCCTGGGGAGTCATTAACACCTCTCATCTTTCTCCTTTCTCTTCCACATTTATAATACAGTGGACCCCCGGTTTACGATATTATTTCATTCCAGAAGTATGTTCAGGTGCCAGTACTGAATGAATTTGTTTCCATAAGGAATATTGTGAATTAGATTAGTCCATTTCAGACCCCCAAACATACACGTGCACACGCACTTACATAATTGGTCGCATTGGGAGGTGATCGTAAAGTGGGGGTCCACTGTATTTTATGCATCTGTTTTTCAAATATTTTCTTATACTTTTACTGCTTATTATTTTTCTCTATTTTTTTCTTGTAGTCATTTATTTTTATTTTAAAAAAATCCAATCAGATTTTTGTAATACATGTACCATACCCTGCTTTATAATTTGTTATTTTTAGTGGACTAAATAATTGTTTAAATTTCAGTTATTTGTTCTGTGCTTTAACTCTCACATTTAAGAAATATGTTAAAATTGTTTACTTAAAGCTAGACAAAATGATAATGTAGCACCTTGGTCTTGGTTGAGGCTGTGACACACTAACACTGCATCCTTCAACTATACCTCCGTTCATTCTCAAGGAAGGCCCTTGATCGTAGTAATCAGAGTGATCCTTCCCTTGGATTATACTTAATCACCTATTCCCTAGATACTGTATATCATCTTTGGGTATAGTGTTCCATCCTGTGTGCTAGGTATTGTGTCTGCTAGTATAGTGTTCCATCCTGTGTGCTAGGTATTGTGTCTGCTAGTATAGTGTTCCATCCTGTGTGCTAGGTATTGTGTCTGCTAGTATAGTGTTCCATCCTGTGTGCTAGGTATTGTGTCTGCTAGTATAGTGTTCCATCCTGTGTGCTAGGTATTGTCTGCTAGTATAGTGTTCCATCCTGTGTGCTAGGTATTGTGTCTGCTAGTATAGTGTTCCATCTTGTGTGCTAGGTATTGTGCTAGTATAGGGTTCCATCCTGTGTGCTAGGTATTGTGTCTGCTAGTATAGTGTTCCATCCTGTGTACTAGGTATTGTGTCTGCTAGTATAGTGTTCCATCCTGTGTGCTAGGTATTGTGTCTGCTAGTATAGTGTTCCATCCTGTGTGCTAGGTATTGTGTCTGCTAATATAGTGTTCCATCCTGTGTGCTAGGTATTGTGTCTGCTAGTATAGTGTTCCATCCTGTGTGCTAGGTATTGTGTCTGCTAATATAGTGTTCCATCCTGTGTGCTAGGTATTGTGTCTGCTAGTATAGTGTTCCATCCTGTGTGCTAGGTATTGTGTCTGCTAATATAGTGTTCCATCCTGTGTGCTAGGTATTGTGTCTGCTAGTATAGTGTTCCATCCTGTGTGCTAGGTATTGTGTCTGCTAATATAGTGTTCCATCCTGTGTGCTAGGTATTGTGTCTGCTAGTATAGTGTTCCATCCTGTGTGCTAGGTATTGTGTCTGCTAATATAGTGTTCCATCCTGTGTGCTAGGTATTGTGTCTGCTAATATAGTGTTCCATCCTGTGTGCTAGGTATTGTGTCTGCTAGTATAGTGTTCCATCCTGTGTGCTAGGTATTGTGTCTGCTAATATAGTGTTCCATCCTGTGTGCTAGGTATTGTGCTAGTATAGGGTTCCATCCTGTGTGCTAGGTATTGTGTCTGCTAGTATAGTGTTCCATCCTGTGTACTAGGTATTGTGTCTGCTAGTATAGTGTTCCATCCTGTGTGCTAGGTATTGTGTCTGCTAGTATAGTGTTCCATCCTGTGTACTAGGTATTGTCTGCTAGTATAGCATTCCATCCTGTATGCTAGGTATTGTCTGCTAGTATAGTGTTCCATCCTGTGTGCTAGGTGCTGTATGTCTGCTAGTATAGTGTTCCATCCTGTATGTTAGGTGCTGTATGTCTGCTAGTATAGTGATCCATCCTGTGTGTTAGGTGCTGTATGTCTGCTAGTATAGTGTTCCATCCTGTGTGCTAGGTACTGTGTCTGCTAGTATAGTGTTCCATCCTGTGTGCTAGGTATTGTGTCTGCTAGTATAGTGTTCCATCCTGTGTGCTAGGTATTGAGTCTGCTAGTATAGTGTTCCATCCTGTGTGCTAGGTGCTGTATGTCTGCTAGTATAGTGTTCCATCCTGTATGTTAGGTGCTGTATGTCTGCTAGTATAGTGTTCCATCCTGTGTTAGGTGCTATATGTCTTCTAGTATAGTGTTCCATCCTGTGTGTTAGGTGCTATGTCTGCTAGTATAGTGTTCTATCCTGTGTGTTAGGTGCTGTATGTCTGCTAGTATAGTGTTCCATCCTGTGTGTTAGGTGCTGTATGTCTGCTAGTATAGTGTTCCATCCTGTGTTAGGTGCTATATGTCTTCTAGTATAGTGTTCCATCCTGTGTTAGGTGCTATATGTCTGCTAGTATAGTGTTCCATCCTGTGTTAGGTGCTATGTCTGCTAGTATAGTGTTCTATCCTGTGTGTTAGGTGCTGTATGTCTGCTAGTATAGTGTTCCATCCTGTGTGTTAGGTGCTGTATGTCTGCTAGTATAGTGTTCCATCCTGTGTGTTAGGTGCTATATGTCTGCTTGTATAGTGATCCATCCTGGGTGTTAGGTGCTGTATGTCTACTAGTACAGGTTGACCATCACTAATCTGGCAATCAGTTATCCGGTTCCATCAGTAATCCGGCACTAATTTCGGCTAGCATAATATCAAATTTCATCATTATAATGACTCAGAAATTGTGCAGACGGTTGTAAATCCACAGCAACAAGCCAGTAGTGGAGAAAGCAGTGAGAAAATGAGGAAGATGTAGCAAAAAGAGTCTCTACTGATAGGTTAATTAAGTGTATTCTAACCTAACCACTCATTAATCCGGCACACTACAGGCCCCAATGATGTCGGATTAGTGATGGTCAACTTGTATAGTGCTCCACCCTGTGTGCTAGGTACTGTGTCTGCTAGTATAGTGCTCCATCCTGTGTGCTAGGTACTGTGTCTGCTAGTATAGTGTTCCATCCTGTGTGCTAGGTACTGTGTCTGCTAGTATAGTTCTCCACCCTGTGTGCTAGGTACTGTGTCTGCTAGTATAGTTCTCCACCCTGTGTGCTAGGTACTGTGTCTGCTAGTATAGTGCTCCATCCTGTGTGCTAGGTACTGTGCTAGTCTAGTGCTCCACCCTGTGTGCTAGGTACTGTGCTAGTCTAGTGCTCCACCCTGTATGCTAGGTACTGTGCTAGTCTAGTGCTCCACCCTGTGTGCTAGGTACTGTGCTAGTCTAGTGCTCCACCCTGTGTGCTTGGTACTGTGCTAGTCTAGTGCTCCACCCTGTATGCTAGGTACTGTGCTAGTCTAGTGCTCCACCCTGTGTGCTAGGTACTGTGCTAGTCTAGTGCTCCACCCTGTGTGCTAGGTACTGTGCTAGTATAGTGCTTCATCCTGTGTGCTAGGTACTGTGCTAGTCTAGTGCTCCACCCTGTGTGCTAGGTACTGTGCTAGTCTAGTGCTCCACCCTGTGTGCTAGGTACTGTGCTAGTCTAGTGCTCCTCCCTGTATGCTAGGAACTTCCCCATGGAAATCAATATTTTTTAGGTCTTGCACCCTGTGGGTTTACCACTTTCCCATGCTGATGAGATGCTACCCCTGGGTAGTGATACCCAGTGGTTTTAATGCTCCCAGCTGTTACTACCCCTGGGTATTACCTTTCCCAGCTGTTACTACCCCTGGGTGTTAACTTTCCAAGTTGTTAATACCCCTGGGTGTTACCTTTCCTATCTGTTACTACCCCTGGGTGTTGCTTTTCCCAGTTGTTACTACCCCTGGGTATTATCTTTCCCAGCTGTTATTATCCCTGGGTGTTACCTTTCCCAACTGTTACTACCCCTGGGTGTTACCTTTCCCAGCTGTTACTACCCCTGGGTGTTACCTTTCCCAGCTGTTACTACCCCTGGGTGTTACCTTTCCCAGCTGTTACTACCCCTGGGTGTTACCTTTCCCAGCTCTTACTACCCCTGGGTGTTACCTTTCCCAGCTATTACTACCCCTGGGTGTTACCTTTCCCAGCTATTACTACCCCTGGGTGTTACCTTTCCCAGCTGTTACTACCCCTGGGTGTTACCTCCTCCTCCCCCAGGTGTTACTTTTCCCTGATAAAAATGATCTTATTGATATGTGGTGAATTTTCCTTTTAGACACTGCAGTAGCAGCACCTTACATGTGCTCCCCACCTGCCTCCAGCAAGCTAGGTAAGCTCTCTTCCACTGCCTATACTCTCTTTCAAGAGAACATTTCATAAGTACTCTTCAGGTGCTCTGGATTCAAGGAATTGAATGCAGTCTTTTATTGTCTCCTGTCTTGTATCAGTATTGATTGCCTTCTGCTCCCCCAGGTGCTGTATGACCCATATGGGTTTAGCACTTCCACTATAAATCTAATAATGATTATAATTCTTTTATACCCTCAATTAAGTGTGTGTGTGCATGTGTGCACGTGTGTGTGTGTTGTGTGTGTGTGTGTGTGTGTGTGTGTGTTGTGTGTGTGTGTGTGTGTGTGTGTGTGTGTGTGTGTGTGTGTGTAGATAGAGTTTAAGAGGATAGTGAGGCTCAGGTTAGGGTGTGTAGGAGAAAGGGAGATTATTTTTCCAGTAAAAAGTAAGTCTTGCAGATGTATAGCATCACCATGGTTGTTTAACATATTTATAGATGGAGTTGTATAAGAAGTAAATGCTAGAGTGTTGGGGAGAAGGGTGGCATTTAATTATGGGAAATGAAATACAAAATGGGAGTTGTCACAATTACTTTTGGCTGATGATACTGTGCTTTTGGGAGATTCTAAAGAGAAGTTGCAAAGGTTAGTGGATGAGTTTGGGAGTGTGTGTAAAGGTAGAAAGTTGAAAGTGAACATAGATAAGAGTAAGGTGATGAGGGTATCAAACGAGTTAGGTAAAGAAAAATTTGATATCACTTTGGAGGAAGGGAGTATGGAAGAAGTGAATGTGTTCAGATATTTGAGAGTTGATTTGTCAGCAGATGGGCTTATGAAGGATGAGGTTAACCATAGAATCGATGAAGGAAAAAAGGTGAGTGGTGCATTGAGGTATCTGTGGAGACAAAAAAAAACGTTTTCACGGAGGCAAAGAAAGGAATGTATGAGAGTACAGTGGTACCAATACTTGTATGGGAGTGAAGCATGGGTTGTGAATGCTGCAGCAAAGAGGAGGCTGGAGGCAATAGAGATATCATGTCTAAAGGCAGTGTGTGGTGTAAATATTATACAGAGAATTCATAGTGTGGAAATTAGGAGGAGGTGTGGAGTTACAAACATATTATTCAAAGGACTGAAAAGGGGTTATTGAGGTTGTTTGGTCATTTATAGAGGATGGAGCAGAATAAAATTACTTGGAGGGTGTAGAAATCTGTAGTGGAGGGGAGGAGGGGTAGGGTATTGTCCTAAGAAAGGATGGAGGGGGAGGGGGTAAAAGGTTTTGTGTGCAAGGGGCCTGGACATGTAGCAGGCATGTATGAGTGTGTTAGATAGGAGTTAATGGAGACGAATGTTTTTTAGGACCTGATGATCTATTAGTGTGTGAGCAGGGTAATATTTTATGAAAGGATTCAGGGTAACCAGTTAGCCAGACTTGAGTTCTGGAGGTGGGAAGTACATTGCCTGGGCTCTGAAGGAAGGGTGTTGGTATGTTAGTTTTTAACTGTAATGTCAGCATGCCTCTGGCAAGACTGATAGTTAATGATCAAAGTGTTTCTTCTATTTTGAGTCACATTGCGTTGGTGGGCAATGGCCGATGTGTTAAAAAACTCTTGATTCTGGAATGAGACACTTGTGCAACATTTGGGAATCACATTACCTGTCCTGAATCTATTGTTCTTCAGTGGTTGTACACTTCCTGTCCTGGATCTATTGTTCTTCAGTGGTTGTACACTTCCTGTCCTGGATCTATCATGTTCTTCAGTGGTTGTAACACTTCCTGTCCTGGATCTATCATGTTCTTCAGTGGTTGTAACACTTCCTGTCCTGGATCTATTGTTCTTCAGTGGTTGTAACACTTCCTGTCCTGGATCTATCATGTTCTTCAGTGGTTGTACACTTCCTGTCCTGGATCTATCATGTTCTTCAGTGGTTGTAACACTTCCTGTCCTGGATCTATTGTTCTTCAGTGGTTGTAACACTTCCTGTCCTGGATCTATCATGTTCTTCAGTGGTTGTAACACTTCCTGTCCTGGATCTATCATGTTCTTCAGTGGTTGTACACTTCCTGTCCTGGATCTATCATGTTCTTCAGTGGTTGTAACACTTCCTGTCCTGGATCTATTGTTCTTCAGTGGTTGTAACACTTCCTGCCCTGGATCTATCATGTTCTTCAGTGGTTGTACACTTCCTGCCCTGGATCTATCATGTTCTTCAGTGGTTGTAACACTTCCTGTCCTGGATCTATCATGTTCTTCAGTGGTTGTAACACTTCCTGTCCTGGATCTATCATGTTCTTCAGTGGTTGTACACTTCCTGCCCTGGATCTATTGTTCTTCAGTGGTTGTAACACTTCCTGTCCTGGATCTATCATGTTCTTCAGTGGTTGTACACTTCCTGTCCTGGATCTATTGTTCTTCAGTGGTTGTACACTTCCTGTCCTGGATCTATTGTTCTTCAGTGGTTGTAACACTTCCTGTCCTGGATCTATCATGTTCTTCAGTGGTTGTACACTTCCTGTCCTGGATCTATCATGTTCTTCAGTGGTTGTAACACTTCCTGTCCTGGATCTATTGTTCTTCAGTGGTTGTAACACTTCCTGCCCTGGATCTATCATGTTCTTCAGTGGTTGTACACTTCCTGCCCTGGATCTATCATGTTCTTCAGTGGTTGTAACACTTCCTGTCCTGGATCTATCATGTTCTTCAGTGGTTGTAACACTTCCTGTCCTGGATCTATCATGTTCTTCAGTGGTTGTAACACTTCCTGTCCTGGATCTATCATGTTCTTCAGTGGTTGTAACACTTCCTGTCCTGGATCTATTGTTCTTCAGTGGTTGTAACACTTCCTGTCCTGGATCTATCATGTTCTTCAGTGGTTGTACACTTCCTGCCCTGGATCTATCATGTTCTTCAGTGGTTGTAACACTTCCTGCCCTGGATCTATCATGTTCTTCAGTGGTTGTACACTTCCTGCCCTGGATCTATCATGTTCTTCAGTGGTTGTAACACTTCCTGTCCTGGATCTATCATGTTCTTCAGTGGTTGTAACACTTCCTGTCCTGGATCTATCATGTTCTTCAGTGGTTGTAACACTTCCTGCCTGGATCTATCATGTTCTTCAGTGGTTGTACACTTCCTGCCCTGGATCTATCATGTTCTTCAGTGGTTGTAACACTTCCTGCCCTGGATCTATCATGTTCTTCAGTGGTTGTACACTTCCTGTCCTGGATCTATTGTTCTTCAGTGGTTGTACACTTCCTGTCCTGGATCTATTGTTCTTCAGTGGTTGTAACACTTCCTGTCCTGGATCTATCATGTTCTTCAGTGGTTGTACACTTCCTGTCCTGGATCTATCATGTTCTTCAGTGGTTGTAACACTTCCTGTCCTGGATCTATTGTTCTTCAGTGGTTACATTGCCTGGATCTATCATGTTCTGTTACACTTCCTGCTCCTGGATCTATCATGTTCTTCAGTGGTTGTACACTTCCTGTCCTGGATCTATCATGTTCTTCAGTGGTTGTAACACTTCCTGTCCTGGATCTATCATGTTCTTCAGTGGTTGTAACACTTCCTGTCCTGGATCTATCATGTTCTTCAGTGGTTGTAACACTTCCTGTCCTGGATCTATCATGTTCTTCAGTGGTTGTAACACTTCCTGTCCTGGATCTATCTGTTCTTCAGTGGTTGTAACACTTCCTGCCTGGATCTATCATGTTCTTCAGTGGTTGTACACTTCCTGCCCTGGATCTATCATGTTCTTCAGTGGTTGTAACACTTCCTGCCCTGGATCTATCATGTTCTTCAGTGGTTGTACACTTCCTGCCCTGGATCTATCATGTTCTTCAGTGGTTGTAACACTTCCTGTCCTGGATCTATCATGTTCTTCAGTGGTTGTAACACTTCCTGTCCTGGATCTATTGTTCTTCAGTGGTTGTAACACTTCCTGTCCTGGATCTATTGTTCTTCAGTGGTTGTAACACTTCCTGTCCTGGATCTATTGTTCTTCAGTGGTTGTACACTTCCTGCCCTGGATCTTTGTCAGTGTTCCTGAGGATAGGTAAGGGCTCCCTGGTTCAGTAATTGGAACGCCCTAAACAATGACCAGTCATTCCTGGTCATATTTTATTATCCGAGAAATGGGATTAATCTTTGCTTCTTTTTTTGTATAGTAAATTCCAAATGGAAGACAAGTGTAATATAGGAGAGGTCTGGCGATGTGATTATGGAACAGAGGAAATGTTTTAGGCCAGAATGTCTGCAATTTTTTTTTTTTAAATTGTGATTTTTTTAATTTTGTATAAAATTTGCCAAATTACTGACTTGTGTGCATTCAATAGGGTAGTTTTGATAGTTGAATTAGTGGTTTCTTGTGCTTAATCAGTTGAACAGAATTGGCTAAAAATTTAGTTGAAAATCAGCAAAATTGCTGATGCATTTATTGCAACCAGACCTTTAAGTTTTTCATTGAATTAGATTTTTTTTTTTGTTATTACCTACAGAAAAAAATTATCTCCTATTTCAAAAGAAGAATTGTTTTAATGTGGACATTGATCACTTAATTTCAGGGGTCTGGACAGTGAAAGAGTTAGTGTGTGTGCATGTGTGTGTGTACACTCGCCTAGTTGAGGTTGCAGGGGTCGAGTCCAAGCTCCTGGCCCCGCCTCTTCACTGGTCGCTACTAGGTCACTCTCCCTGAACCGTGAGCTTTATCATACCTCTGCTTAAAGCTATGTATGGATCCTGCCTCCACTACATCGTTTCCCAAACTATTCCATTTCCTGACTACTCTGTGGCTGAAGAAATACTTCCTAACATCCCTGTGATTCATCTGTGTCTTCAACTTCCAACTGTGTCCCCTTGTTACTGTGTCCAATCTCTGGAACATCCTGTCTCTGTCCACCTTGTCAATTCCTCTCAGTATTTTGTATGTTGTTATCATGTCCCCCCTATCTGTCCTCCAGTGTCGTCAGGTTGATTTCCCTTAACCTCTCCTCGTAGGACATACCTCTTAGCTCTGAGACTAGTCTTGTTGAAAACCTTT